CCCTCAGTTTCTCTGAGTTGTATTGAGTATACTCTCTCATGAACTTTCATTTCCATAATGTATCTCTTCAGATCTGCCTTATGTATTAAATCCATTAAGTTTTGCCTTTTTCTCCCTCTCATTTTTCCTCCCTTCTTTTTGTCCTTAGTGCCCTAATACAAGGTAATGTATTATCCACCTTTAAGAGGTACATTAATGGGCGTTGAGTAACTACCCCAAAGCATTTGACTGGAGCCCTCAGGGTTTTAGAAGTCACCCATCCCTACTAGCCTTTCCAATGGAGAAATACCTTGTGTTGCTTTCCAAGTAAATAATGAAAACTTTCTCTAAGACTGTGAGGCACTTTGTGAATGCACATTTGAACCATTTTCAAGCTGATATGCCTCCTCAAGAAGTTTCCTGGTTATCCATTAAATTTTCCATTTCAATTGCTTCATTTTCATTTCTGAAAGTTCACTTTGATATTTCCAAATCTATCAAGTCAGTTCTTAACATTTTACTATTCCCTGAGTTTAAGCCTATCATTTATTTCTTTAAATGTTTTAAGTAGAGTTTTCAAATGTATGCATTGTCATCTCAGAATCTGGAATGTTTGCGAGTCTATTTCGGCTGTCATTTGTTTTCCACTGGCTCTCGTTTATGTTACCTTATTTCTTTGTTTATTCTTTAAAAACTGCTGCTCATTTTCCTTGCAAAATTATTTATAGGGGTTTCTTGAAACCTAGAATAAAATCCAGAGAGGATTTGTGTTCATTCCTGTCAGATGAGTATCGACAGTACCAACCTATCATAGTTTGACACTAAATTCACAGCTTGAGATTTTAAAAAATTGATATGTAAAAACATAAAAACTGTACATATTTATGGGGCACTGTCTGATGTTTTGATACACATATACATTATGTAATATTTAATGCAGGGTAAAAATGTCTCTGTGCTCAAACATGTATCATTTCTGTATGGCAAAAACATTCAAATTCCTTTCTCTTATCTTTTTGAAACATAGGGTGCCCTGTTGTTGTCTATGTTCACCCGTCCATGCATTAGAACACCAGAATGTCTTACTTCTATTTAATTGTAACTTGGCACTATTGACCAACCTTTCTGCATCCCTCCATCCCTGCTACTCCTTCCAGCCCCGACTCTCAATTTCTCAAAGCTTGAAATTCTTTTTTGACCAATTAGTGGGAATTTGGGCTCAAGGTTTGAGTGACGATAGTCAGGCACATGGTTGTCACTTCTCAGAAATATTAAATATTTTTCTTCTGCTTTTCTCAGTGCCAAGACAACTCTCTTTTTATGCTTCTGGGAGTAGACTATGGGGCTGGTTTACATTTATTTCAACCTTAGCTGGATATTTAGTTCTTTAGGGCCACAGGGTTTTGGGGTAATAGAAGGTGATCCATTATTAGGCTCTTCAGACTGACTTAGGATTTAACTTTTGACCCCCTTCACCTGCGAGACCTTAATTTCCAAAGCTTGAGTTTAACTAGTTCAGAAGAAGCTTGCAAGGCAAAGTCTACTTGATTCAAGTCTACTTGAATCTCTGAAATTTTTGCTTTCACTCAAATTGTGTCTTGGTGATGTCATTTAATCTTGTAAGATATTTGATGCTTTCTAAAATACTTTAAAATTTTTTATCTATTATTATTTTTTGCTATTTTATTTTATTTAATTTACTTATTTTGGGTACCAGGGATTGAACTCAAGGGCACTCAACCACTGAGCCACATCCCCAGCCCTACTTTGTATTTTATTTAGAGACAAGGTCTCACTGAGTTGCTTAGCGCCTCGCTGTTGCTGAGGCTGGCTTTGAACTCGCAATCCTCTTGTCTCAGCCTCGTGAACTGCTGGGATTAGAAGCATGTGCCACTGTACCTGGCACATCTTTTGCTGTTTTAATCAGGCAGTTTGGTTTTTAATTATTTAACCTACTGTATTACAAGAAATAAAAATTTCCTTGTAAACTTTAAATAAGTGTATCCTAAAAATTTTCTATTGGATTTTGAATTTATAGACTAATTTGGAGAGAATTTACATCCTTACAAGTTTACTTTATCCAAGATCCTAAAATATATACCTGTGTATTCAGAGTATTTTCTAGAATTATCATGGTTTAGATCTGGAATATCTTCCAAGTGCATTGTTGAAGGCTTGGTCCCCAGTGCAGCAGTGGGGCCTTCAGGAAGATGAATGGATCATGAGGGTTCCAGCCTCATCAGTGGACTAATCCATTGGCTGACTCATAGCATGGACTACCAGGAGGTGCTGTAAACTCTAGGAGGGACCTAGATAAAGGGAGTGAGTCACTGGGGATGTGCCCTGTGAGAGTGTATCTTGCTTCCAGGCCCTTCCCTGTCCCTCCCTTTCTTTCTGCTTTCCAGTCACCAAGAGGTGAGCAACTCTGCTCCACTATGCCTTCTCCACCAGGCTGTTCTTCCTCAGCGTGGGCCAGAGCAATGGAGGCCACTGACCATGGACTAAAGTCTCTGAAACCAATCAGCTAAAATAACTCTTTATTCCTATAAGTTGATCTTCCCAGGTATTTTATTACAGTAATACATTTGAGTAACACAAAACTTTTATTAAAATTTTGATTTTTTTCCCGTAAGTTCTTGTACACTCTTAACTTATTTATTTTTGGATATTATATAGATTTTGTCATCATTTTGACTGATAGATTGTCTTTGATTGAAATTTATAGTTGTCATTGCTGATGTAGTTGACTTATATACGACAACACTATTGAATATTCTAGTGTCTTATCTCTTGTTTCTATTGTTTTATTTCTAAGAAAATGATCCTGTCACCACAAATAATGAGTGTTCTATCTCTTCCTTTACAATATTTATGGTTCTTAATCATTCTGTTGTTTTACAGCTTTGGCCAGGACTTCTGATCCAATGAAAAGCAGCAGTCAGGATGAGAATCCTGTCTTACTCCCAGTCTTAATGGGAATACTTAGGCATTTTGTGAACTTTCTGCTGCACTTGATCACTTTTTTTCCTTAAACTAAGTAGAGTGGTTTCTGCCACCTGAAACTGAAACCTCTTAGCTATAAAATGAATGCAGAATAAGAATATTCCTATGACCATAGCATCTAAGGCCTCAAAGATTAAAAAAAAAAAAAAAACAACATAGCACCAAGTATATCCCATATCCTAAAAATAGTTGAAATCATTTGTAGGCAAATATTGCACTCATTATGCAAGGCTCCTGAGAGAGCTCAGCTACCTCCAATCATAAGGCTAGTATCACCAACCTACATCTCTGACAATATGCAGAAAGACTGGGGAAGGGAAGAGAAGGAACCATCAAACTAAGTCATTGGTGAAGTTCTTCTCAAGCCTCATAAAGAGGCTCAGGACAGAGCAATCACATGAAAGATGGGACTGTTCACAAGAAGGGGAGGTTGGTTTGGATGACTGTCCAGACTACTGATAAACATACTGCCTCCTCCTCAGAAGGAAACAGAACATAGAGAGGATGATAATGAGGCAACCTACACTCCTATCCTTTGGCAAGACTAGGTAAGTTGCCTAATCTAGGTGAAATCCAAGTTTTCGTCTTGCCAGGCTCTCTTCTGAAATGGTAACACATGAGTGAGAGGAACTCAATGCCTCAAGAGTGAGAGTGAGTCGGGGGCAAAGTGTACAAGAGGTTAACTGGAGCTGGGTCTTCCATTGGCATCTCAGGAAGCATCCAACTTAGTAGCCAGTTGGTCTTAGCTACAGAAAAATCAATGAAAGGTTGTAACCATGTGTCCATTAGCTAAAGACTTCTGTCTTTTCTACTTTGTACTGCTCCAACTGTGAAAAAGCTAAAACCATAAAGTATATCAGAAATTACTTTTTTTCCCGTAGCCTCATGTAATTTTAATTTTGAGTCCCCATACTGAGTGGCTGCAGAAATCAATTTATAAGACAATTCCACAGTTCCCTGCCAATCCTTAGAGTTTTGTCTAAATCCTAGGAGGCTTTGTGGATCTGTAGCTTCATAGGAGACATTTGATCCTTGTTGTTACCATCTAATTTCCTGTCTTCACTCTAATCAAATGCCTACCCATCTTTGCCCTGATAGGAAGTCCTTTATAGATCCTAGTTCTCTCTCTCTGCTAATACCCGTTTCCCTATCGGGCACATGGAAACTTGCTTGCTTCTGTGCCAATCTGAGTGCAGGTAATATTGTGATGCGTTTTCAGAGCTTCTCTGCCATGCCAAGTGAACTATACTGGCATTTCTTATCTGCTTTAGCACTGGACTAGTCACAGGGGAACCCCAGGACTTTGTTACTTCCCCAAGTACTGCCCAAGGAAGGACATAGTGGACTTTCAGCAATCAGATCCCTCAAACTTCTGGGGAGATTTTTTATCACCCAGATTTTCCTAACTGGGGAGAAGGCAGGGCAGAGTCAATTGACAGGAACCCACCAATATCTTAATTCTCTTAGTCCTCTCAGTGCTGATACTCTACATTCTGTCCTAGTCCGGTAAGCTATGTAATTCAGTGGGTGTGAGGGTAAGGGACAAAAACAAACAAATAAACATTATTGTATACATGCCCTTAATTTCTATTTTTTTCTGTGTCCCCTGGTGGCTATGATTTTGAAACTTAAAATATGATGACTCACTATAATATTATGCTGGGCCATTTCTCTCTTAATGAAAACTACAAAGTCTTACCATCTACTCTGCTACAAAATTTTTCAGCAAAACTTACGTCTAGCTGAGCAATGTTCTTTAGGATATAAAGAGGTCTCCACAACTCCCCATTCCCAGGGGAGGAGAAAAAAAACATCAACCAACCACCTGCTTAATAAGGAGCTTGAGTGCACTGATTATCTTTAATGATTTGTCAAAGGTTGTCTTGATTTTTGTTTTGTAAACAAGAAAGGGATGCTTGTGTTTACTGTTATCAAACTAAGGTTGGGTTGGTTCTTAAGATGGGACTTTAGATCAGAACCATGTGACTTTTTCAGAGACGTTAGTGCCAAGTCCGTAGGAGGATGCTTAATAAGTGTTTATTGAATTAACCTGTAGAGCAAGCTGAGAGCAGTGGAAAACAAGTGCCCTGAGCTCCCATCTCATGGTTCAGAGTCAAGCAGCTCAGGAACACTTGAAATACAGGTATTGGTACAAATAGTGACCTCATACAGGTAAATACATCTCCCCTGTCCTTGTCCTAAGCTAGCCAGTGAGGCTTTGCTCTGTCAGATTTCCCAGAATCTGATTCCCTGTGTGTCTACTGGGGAGAATGCATGTTCAAGCAGGGCCTTGGGTAGTCTCATGATGCCAGTTCTTGCTTTTTGCTGTAGACTGGGACACTTGAGTAACATTTGGTGCCCCACACAATTGGGGGAAGAGAACAGGAATTATAAATGCTTGAACATTAGCTCCTCTCCTGATGTGGACTGTAGGAGACTCAGAACGTCACAGCTTGTAGGAGGCAATTGTGTTACACAGGTTCTAAGGGGCTATAGGTGATCTAGAGCCCTCCATGGCCACAGCCCATGTATTTTACTGTAGAATGATATTGGGGATGCTTGAAGAAGAGTGGAGCAATCTGACTTCTAGTTGCACTGTCATTAGGTGGCTTGAGATTTGGTGGATGTTATGCAATCAATTCTGTTCTTTCACCTCTAGCCATAAGAAAAGCAAGGCACACCTTTGATGGTATGTGTTATTTGTTTACAGTTCAACTTATTATATAATTGCACGTTTACTTTCATCAAACATGTAGATTCTTTAGAATACCTGCAATTTAGAGTACACAGTAGAGAGCTTTGTGAAACACTGTGCCTATGAGAATTTTTCCATGGTATACAGAAGCCACTGACGTCCCTTGAAGCACAGAGCCATTATTGGCATAGATGGTGCTCACCCTGGGCTGATCAGACAAAACATTCTGGATGCGTAGTACCTGTCAAGACAAGATCACTCATTAGTATATTATATGGGCAAATGGCTATCTAGTGATATTTTCTTTTCCAAATATACCAGGAAAAAATTTTTTTTCAGAAATTAATAGGCTCAAATCTGTGTATATTAAATAATCTTCCATCTTCTGACAATAGCGTTAATGTCCTAAGAATATCTAGGTAATAAAATGGATTGCTTATCTGACATTAGCCAAATTATTCAATAGAGAGCTTGAAAAATTGTGGTAGTTTAGTCGTCCCCTATAGAAGGAGGTTAGACATAGCGAACACTCTTATCTAACTTGCAAGTGGGCAGTGGTTTTCCTTCTGTTGGGGAGGGTCTTGCCTTTGAGCCTAAAGCATGAGGAAGATAACATGGGACAAAACAGAAAAGGAAACCCCAGTCGGCCACCGAAGTCAATCTGGTATGGGGGTGGTAGGTAGTAGTCATCATGGCTGGACCCCTTCACATCTCCCAAGTGGCTAGGGAGCACAAAGAACGCAGACTACTTTGGAATCCCACCTAATATATTAGTGACTAGTGCTGTTATTGATCCTCAGGGTGAACATCCTTAACTTTGCTAATCAGTAAATAAATAAGCACTCAGGTTTCCAAACAGCCTGGATAAAGTTCATTTAAGCAGAACATGACAGAAACTAAAGGAAAACAATCAGAAATTAGTGAGTGAAGAGTCTACATAAATACCTCCTGTTAAAACAAAGTTTAGGGTTTAGTTTTGTTTCATTTTAAGGAAGATCCTGCAACTTCATCTCAAGTTTATTACACAGCACTCACTCAAGCTTGGATTTTACACAGAAAAAAAAGGGACTCTACTGAAAGGAAAGGGTGTCAGCAACTGTGAAGAAATAAATTTTATCTAAAATAAACAAGTGCTCAAACTTGAAAACAGAGATGTGAAAAAAGATCCTCCTTCCCAATCATTCTATGGATTCTATTTGCACTTCCTTAAGGCAGATGTTGTGGCTGGACTTTTGTCACAAAGTTATTTATATCTGTCACTTGGGTGGGAGTGGCACCGGCACAGGACACACACCTGAAATAAAGATAGCTTGCTAGCTCAGTGTAAGGATTCTTCAGATTTGAAGCTGAGGCTGGAATTTAGTTTCTTTTTATATTTCTTGGTGCTTCCTTCACCCCCCCCCCTTAGTTGTTTTATTTTATTTTTAAATTTTTTATATTTTCTCCATGTTTTTTTTTATTGCTGCATTATAGTTGTATCTTGGTGCTCTTTTTAAGAAGCAGTGACTAATGTTTTAATTTAAAAGAAAACAATTTTAGCTGAAAAACAGCAATATTCTTTAGCAGAAGTAATTGTATGTTCTAATTTACCCACTGGGCCAATTACCAGGCTAGGATTTAAATTTCAGTTTCCTAATTCCCCAAACCTGTATTCAAATGTTGTATCTTCCTCCAAACCATACCTTCTCAATGAGGTCAATTCTGATCTCTGTATTTAATATTCTTAACAGTGGTCTACCTCATGCTTTGAATATAGTCCTTGCTGCTCTGCCACTGAGACTTATTTTAAAATGGACATTTCCCTCCCCCCTTTTCTCTCTTTCCCAAACTAGCAAGTGAATTTCAACCCCCCCCCACCTCTCCCATCAGGGAATACCTGGAATGTAGCCTTTGAATCACCTCTTTAAAATTTCTCTGTTCCCCTTGATGAGCAGAATCACAACCTCTCGGACTAGAGTTCCCTGTGTTTCTCATTTGCTAGCAAAGCAAAAAAATCTTTTTCCTTTTTCTCAAAACTGTGTCCTGGTTATTAGATTGGCATCAACCCAGGCCTTGTTCACAGAAATCCTGACCCTCTTTGCCCTGCTGTTCTGTTTTGCCCATAGAACTTCGAACTTATGATATAATTTACTTATTTCTTATGCTTGTTGTTCATTGCCTGCCCTCATCTCCCTAAGAACAGGGATCTTTGTATGTTTTATTTTCTGACCTGTCTTAGGTATAAGAACAATGTTTGACATGTTACAAGTGCTCAGTAAATGTCTGAATTAATCAGAGGATGTGTGCCAAGGATTTGTAGCTCCAATTACATTCACTGGAGTTGTTTTTTTTTTAATTCTTAAACTCAGTGCCACAGAAAATGCAATCCTTTATGCCATTGCTTTTAATGCTGTAGAAAATTCAATGACTTAGGTGATTGTTTTAGAAGAGATTTTTTTAAAAAATATTTATTTATTTTTTTTAGTTATAGGTGGACATAATGTCTTTATTTTATATTTATGTGGTGCTGAGGATCAAACTCAGTGCCTCATGCATGCTAGGTGAGCGCTCTACCTCTGAGCCACAATCTCAGTTCTAGAAGAGATTTAAAAAAAAAATAATGCAAATAAAACCTTTAAAATGAGACATTATTTGACATGATCGTATCTACAAGCAAAAATTCATTTAATTTTGAGACTTTCATTTAAACACTCTTATTTCAGTCTCATGTTAAGGAGTCTGAAAGACGATACTTCCATACTCATCTCTCTCTTTGCCTAAGCAGAGGACCTTTTCAGAGCCCACCTTTTGGTTGGAAACACTATACAGCCATTTGGATCTATATGAATTATTAAGCTCATGTTTTCTCATTACTCCCAGCAGCAAATCAAACCCTTGCAAGGATGAAATACGTTGCCTGGCATTAATGTTATATTGGTACCTGGTGATGTGAAAGGACTATTCTGCCCAAATCTCTACACTTTTCATTTGTAGAATTTGTTCAGTTTTGGAACATCAAGTATGACCCACATCACCTCAATAAATTGTTCATTCTTGCAACTTTACCTGTGAGCTCAGTGAAATATAAGCACTTACTTCTGACCCTGGGGGATCCTCAGGGTTATAGTTCAGCAACTTCATGGCATTAGGATGGCATCCTGCCAAAATATCTCCAGTGTCAGGATCAACAGTTAAGTTATCCACCAAGGTGCCCAACTGTATTACCTATCAACAAAGAAGAAGTTGTGGAGACAATTTTCAGTGTCATTCCTATTCTCCCCACCTCCTACAAGCTCTTCCTGAAACTTGAACCTGGCATTGGCTTTGCTATTTCACTTGCAAAGCAAAAGCACAGTCTCACCAGCATTGCTCTAAAATAGTCATAGATGCTTCAGTCAAGGAGCACACAACTGGGTGGAGTGTGAGGGTTAAGCATACCATGTTGTAGAGCAAGCTAGGGTATTTTACCTTCAGTTGAGTTAAATCCCAGTTATCATTCTTTTCCAGTATGTGAATGTTCTTATCTGTTACATCAGCTACATAGATATACCTTTAAAGTAAATAAAAAATTTACATTTGAGCAAGTAGTAATGAGATATGACACTAACTCTTTTTTTGGAGAAGAGATATAAACATTCACATTAGTTTGAAGTACCACTGAGATGCTTTTCTAAATTACAGTAAAAGAAGATGATGAAGTGGTATTTTTAATATTCTTGAAATGTTTTAAACAGGCTTTGAATATGAAATAACAAAACTGGTGTTTTAGATGATATATGGGCTCAATTTTCATTCTGAAGAGTTGCAATTTTTTCCTTACCTCGAGTAGAGGTAAAAAGACCTCTTATAAGACTACAGAAAGACCAACGCTTGAAAAAAAGTCTCAGGTGACCATGAAGCTCAATCATAACTTTTTTTGAAAGTGAAAAAATACTTAGAGGTATTTTTCCACTAAAATCATCTCTGTTTATTATCTCAAATTTATATCTTCTTATATTCTTGTTACTTCTCTTTTGTAAAGTCTTCAATTGTGGGGGCTGGGGATGTAGTTCAGTGAAAAAGCACCCCTGGTTTCAATCCCCCAGTACCACAGGGAAGGAGGGAGGGAGGGAGGGAGGGAGGGAGAGAGAGAGAGAGAGAGAGAGAGAGAGAGAGAGAGAGAGAGAGAGAAACCACTTCATTTTAAAAATGCTTATAAAGAGTGTTTCCTCATAAAATTTCATGCTGCTTAAATTAGTCATTGAAAAGTCCACTGTTGTTAATCAGTAATCCCGAAAATTACATAATCATAATGCGCAATCTAAGGTGGACCTCCTTCTCTAATGAGAGCTTTTGGGTAACTGGACATAGTATTAATGGTTAAATACCTTCTAGCCTCATCAGGGTCAGGAGTATTTCATACTTACTCTGCTTTACAGTGTATTAAAAAGTATATTTCTAAAGCCATGTAAGAATTTGGAACAAGAAGGAGTCTTTTTTTTTTTTTTAATGCTACTCCTCCTCTAGTAAGAGAGAACTTGAAGCACAAGAAATATGGTTTGCTTGAGATTACACATTAGTGTGTACCCTGGCTACACCTGATCCCTCCATTCATATACTAACTCTTCAAGCCTGAAGAAACAATTTCCTCTTAAGGGAAGAAGTTTGGCAAAATGTCAAGGGCAAAAGGTAGAAAAATTATAAGAGAGCATACTTATGGTCTAGTGAGGCTGTGATTCCATTGGCAGAACTAAATCCTTTGGCTACCACTTTGACCTCTTTGGGGCTGTAGAAAATAACATGAGTCCAGTGCAGATCCAAGATCATCTCCAAAAGTGCCAAGAAGAAGTTGGTGAAATAGTGGTCTCTGGTGGCATAGAATTGTTCTGGCCCAAGAACCACAATATCATTCACACTAAAAAGAGAAACAAAAAATGGTGGAGGGATGCATGGAGTACTTGAATATCCTGACTATTGCTGAAATTGCTAATATCAACAAAGATGAATATGTTCCTTAGTTTCAAAAAGTAGACATGAATTACTATGGATTACAAGAATCTCACAAAAAGTACATGATTTTGCATTGCCATGATAGTTTTTTTTTTAAGCCACTTATTATTTTCTCACCATACCTTCCATTTCTTTTGGTAAAAAGAAAGAAAATATACAAATAAACCTCAAACTCCAAACTCTATTGACTCATAAGTGTGGATAATGATTATCTGTAGCAGCCATAATTGTCATGGTTCTGCTCCTTTAGGAATTAGACTTCTTTGCATCACTTGAAGTTAGGCACAGACATATGACTTGCTTTGGCCAATAAAATGAAATATGTGTGGCTTCCAGATGGAAGACTTTGGGAGCCAGTGGGTGACCCATTATGTTTCCATAGTAATGAGCAATTTTTCTGATGATAGAGAATTGTGATCCTCCTATAGTCCTAAATAAGAACAGTATGAAACTGAGTCCCTTAATCAGCAACATTGGGTACGAAGCATGAGGAGTTAGGAAACAAAAATAAAACAAAACTATGTGGTTTTGAGCCTAAGTTTTTTTTCCTGTTATCATATCCCAACAGAATCCATCTTGGTCCTTATATTTTTCCCTGAATAGAATGAGTTGCAGGTGATATTCCTTCTTTTGACCTTCAATATCATTAAAATTCTTAACTAGAGCAAGCCTTATGCTTACAACCAGTAAAGATGGTAAAACCATTTCCATTTTGGAAAAAGAAAAAAAAATAGTGACTTGAAAAAAAAAAGAAAGATTAAAGATTTTTAGATTAAATTTTAGGACAGGAAATTTGGGAGGAATTGGGAAATTCTTTGAGGTTTTGAAGTATAATAACTTTTCCAAGGTCAATGGGCTTTTCATCTTTCATATCTCTGCTTAAAGGGTCCTTCTTCCAAAAATCCTTGCCTGACACCATAAATTATGTTAACGTCTTACCTGACACCATAAATTAAATTCCTTCACAATTTGTTTCCATAGCTCTCTGTTCTGCCCCCTTTACTTACTTGGTCTATGTGGGTATCAGGGTACCTCCCATACTCCTCTTTACCTGCCTTGTTCCAGCAGCAGAGCTCTACTTCAACCAGTTCTGTGTGGGATCTAACAGGTTGCCCACAGGGGCAGCCTAATTACCTCATGCCTATTGTGGGCCTCTTGCCTCCCACTTCTGGCCTTCCAACATGACATCAGAGCACAGGATATCACCTGACTAGACTTGCATAGGCACAACACGGAAGGTCATGGAGGTAAAACCCCTTAAACCTATGACTAATGGGAGATGAGGCGGGTGGATAAGCTCTTTTCTCTTTCTTATCTTCGCCCGATTGTTCTGAAATGAGGCTTATGTTGCTTACTAGAGATAAGCCTATCATTTCAAGCAGTCCATTGTATTTAGCAAAGGCTGGATTGAAAATGGATTTGCTACAGTTCTCCCCATATATGAGTTTCCCAGTGCTGTCATGACAAGGTACTACCAACTGGATGGCTTAAGACAACAGACATCTTTGCCTCACATTTCTGGAGGTTAGGAGTCTGTAATCCAGGAGCTGGCAGGGCCATGTTCCCACTGAAGTTTCTATGGAATGATCTTTTTCTGCCTACTTCAGCTTCTGGTAGTCCCTGGCATCCCTTGTGTATCTGTCTTCTTCCAAGGATACCAAGAGTACACCCCACTGCAGTATGACTTCACCTTTAATTGCATCTGCAATGACCCTACCTCCATATTCTGCGATACAGTGGATTAGGATTTCAACCTATCTCTTTTACTGAACATGATTCAGCTCATAACATTCCCCCTGTCTTGCTTCAGGTGGGTCTTTGACATGTGCGTCCTGGAATTGAGCTCCCTAATAAAGTGGTCACATACCAGGTTTTGTCTTCAGGCTGTGCTTTCTTGAACTCTTCCTGTGAGTTCATTTGCTATTGCATTTGATCCTCACAATCCACAAATTAGATAAATCAGGTCAATGAGAGAATTCTCATTTTATTAAGAAAATTGAATCACCAACTAAGTTCCTTGTCCACAGTTTCCCAGCGACCCTGTGAAAGTCCTGGTCCACTGTGGCTCAGAACCTTGCACAATGCATTATGGGAAAAGTTTAAGTAATAATCTCAACTTCTCTAACTTCTTCTGGCCTCTGCTTTTATTGCCTTCAAATTCCATAGGGAGAAATTCACAACTGATGTTGAGAAAAGCAGCAAAGGAGAGGAAAGTTCCTCTTTTCCTTTCCTTGTTTTTCTGTCTCATGGAGAAGTCAACCTTTATTATTTTAAAACCAGTCCTTTAGCACTGAGCCTATTTTACATAAGAAAAATTCTTCATTGTTTTGTAGCACACTTAAAATAGGTAGCCCATCCCCCCCCCAAAAAAACCACCTATTTTTCTCAACATAATGAGAAAGACATTCATTGCTGCAATTGAAAACTTTGCTTTGAATTCAGATGGATCTAGATTTGCATCATGGTTATGACAGCTTTAAATTGTATAACTTGAGAAAGTTACCTATCCCAAAACTTCTTCAAGACTAGATTCAGTTTCCTCATGCCTATGACTAAAAGCTATTAAGCTGTTGAGAGAATTAAATCATGTCTGGTACACAGTCAACTCTTAATAGATATAATTTTATAAGTGCCTATGAGCTTTTCTCAAATTCTACTTGAAAGCTCTGATTGAACAAAGAAATGGCCCATCTGGAGGTTGGTTATAACACCCAGTGGGTGAGGCTCACAGAATGCAACCTACCCAGACAACTGGAGAAGGGAGTAGGTGTTTAAAGAGAGCACAATGGAAGGTATTGAGTTGCTGTGGTAAAGAGGATGAAATTAGAGCTGGGAATCTAATTGAGCACCTTTATGGGATTAAAATGCTTTCAAAAAGTTGGAAAATATAGGGATATTCAATACTGAACACAGCAATTTCTAGTGAGGTTCTGGGCAGTGTCACCATGGGAATCTTAAGAGAGCTTTAGAAAAAAATGCTACAAAACAAAAGTTTAAGAAATCCTGCAGAATCAAAGAAAACAAAGCATACAGTGGAGGTACAAAATAAATAGAAGTACACAATACTTTAATTCTATACCTCTTGAGAAGTTCGTGCTTTATGGTTTTCAGGTGTATGAGAGAACGTTGTTGTTCTTCAAATTTGAATATCTCCACAGTGGACTTCATGTGGGGATGATTCACAACGTAGAGATACACCGTGTGGTCTAAATGGGAGAAAAAGCATAATTTTCCAAGAGGTTTTCCTATATTGCAACCATTATTAGACTTGTTTTAAAACTTGATCACCTCTGAGGGTTTTTGTTTTCAGATGGGGTCTTTCTATGTTGCCAGGCTGGTCTTGAACTTCCAGCCTCAAGTGAGCCTCCTGCCTCAATGTTTCTCATGGCTGGGACTTCGGGCATGTACCACTGTGCCTGCTGCATAGATTTTCTTCATGATATTGCTTTTGGGCCTCACAGTACCTGATTAGTAATTAACACAAATACTAGAATCTCTACTTTTTTTTTTGTTTTTGATTTTGGAAATGAAGCTCAGATAAGGAGTGACTCAGCAATTTCACCATCATCAAGTGGCAGAGCCTATCACAGATATTTGTGCAATGATCTCTTGAGCCTCACATGTATATACTAACAGGAAGGTACAGAATGACAATGGTGCATAAACATGGGTGTAGTTTCTCCAGGTGACCTTCAATAAGTGAGTGCAAAAAACAAAACTTTACTGAGAAATGTCTATGTGTGTGGCAATTGTCTATGGTACAATGCAAGTTCAAAAAATGTCAGGGCAGTGTAAATACCTTCAAATAAGCAACATTTCCCATCTAGACAATGACCTTCTGTTACAAGTCAACTACCTGAGGTTGCAATAACAACATTTAGTTAACCCAATGGACATGGAATGTAAATATGAAAGTCGAAGAAAAACTAGCCTATTCCAGGTATTACCAACCTCAAGAATGTTAGCCTACCTGTTTTCACTTTGGAATGTATGATTGAGGGTAGAAAGCTGACCTCAAAGAGCACTGTTATCGGACCGTCAGGAGCTCTAAGTCTGATGAGCTCTGGATTTTTAGAAGGACTGGCTCCATTCTCCCATTACAGGACCTGTTATGTGTTCATCTTCCCTATTCCCTTCCTCAATGCAGTTTCCAATCACATGATGGAGCAAGCCTAAACCTGAGATGCAAAGTTTATACTCAGGGTCTCTGAAACAAGTTGGGCTCTCTCATGCAAATTAAGGAAAGGTGCACCCTCACAGGTGAATCTTTTGGTCTGACCCAGATGTGTTTCAAGACTTGGCAAACAGAACATGGATTGGATTTCAACCCTCAAACAATCTTTTGATTGAATCTTTGAACCAGACTCTCTTGTTGGACAGAATTGTGAATAACTATTCATGCTGTCTTGGTTTTACCCCTTTTAGCACCTCTACTTGAGCCTTCTTTCCATATAAGTTATGCTTAGTGAGGATACTTTTGTTCTCTCTCTCCTCATTTCATCCCTAGTTCTATGTATAACGTTTTGGTCATATGAATTAAATACAAAATAAAGGTAGGGGACTAATAAATAACATAGGCTGTTAATCATAACACACTTAACTTCTGGAAAATTGATTATATGACTAAGAGTTAATCTATTCACTGGTCTCATAACAAAACAAAACACCCCTTACCCCCTCTTTCTCCCCAAAACTCTACTTCTAACACCATCCTATGCAGTGAAGTAGCTCCAGGCTAAGTTCATTTAGGACATCTTCTCCCATGAAACATCTTATATGTAGCACAGTATCAGGCAAAAGTGTTATGGTTTTTGGATTATTTAAATAGAGCTTGATGCCCTAATTCACCCCAGTAAAAGATACAGGATTAGAAGACAGACTACTGATCCCAGTTTTCGATTGGCCAGTTACTAACAATAGAAATGAAGTCACACTTCATTGCTCTTCTCTCAATTCCATTTTATCCATCTATAAAATTGAGTAGTAACATGTGCTCTACCTGTCCTGCAGGATCCATTCATTTATTCTTCTAACACATATTCACTGAGTACCTGCTGTACATCAGATAATGTGCCAGGAATCCAACAATGAACAAGTAACCCGTGCCTTTATGGTGATGGTGATTATAATTTAAAGAAAACAAGGAAAGACAAAGATAAACAAAAGACAAAGAACACTAGAGTGCCTTCTTCATAGAGTGTCACCCACTCAAGAGTGACTATTAAGCTTGGATCTGAAGATGTGAAGAGGTTTCTACAGAGCAATAGCAGGAGAAGGAAAGAAAATTTTTGTTTGTTTGTTTGTTTTTCTGTTTTTTTACATTAGTGATCATTTTGATGAGTGTTGAGAAGAAATATGATAGGTATGCAACCTGAACCAAGATGGTGGAAAGGCTTCTCTGGGAAGGCAATATAAGCTGAGACCTGAATGATGAAGAGGAGTAAAGCTGGAAGTGCTGAAAAGACATTCATGGCAAAGGAAACAGCAGATGAAAAGACCCTAAGGCATGGGTATGACTAAAAGAAATTCAACTTGGCTGGTCCAGAGAACCTGTATCCAGTGAAAATGTCTCCATCTTCAGCACACAGATGCCAGAATATGTAGGGGAAGCATCCAGGAACCCAGGTTGTTCTGGAGATTTGGGATTTATCCTCAGAGTAATGGAGAGTTTAAAAAAGGGAGTGACAATCATATTTGTATAGAAATAAATCTTGCTAAATGTATGGAGGAGGTACAAGAAGGAAGGTACAGTAATGGAGTTAATGCAAAAATCCAGGGAAGTCAAGTTCAGAGCTTAGACTGGGCTGATGCAGCAGGATGGGGAGAGGTGGGTAGATTGCAGAGATATTTGAAAGGTACATCAGCCAGAACATTATAATGAGTTGACTGAATGGGTCAGAGAAAGATAGAGTGTCAAGGTTGGGCCCAGGATCTTATTTTTAAAAATAAACTAGAATAGATGAAAATGCTTTGTAAACTATAAAGCAATGCAAAACTGTTGGGCACAATTATCTTTTAAAGAAAGGCTTGTTAATCAAGTAACACAGAAGATTTCAGGGATTATTTAGCCTACTTACTAGCCTAGTGTTCAAACATTTTAGAGGTCTCCGTTTATTTGAAAATGAACAAATTTAGTCTGGGTTGTGGCTCAGTGGAAGAGCACTTGCCTAGCACATGTGAGGTACTGGGTTCGATTCTTAGCACCACATTAAAAAATAAATAAATAAAAATTTTAAAAATGAACAAATTTATGTTAGTGTAGACCAAAGGAATTGAACAAAGATACATTGAATGAGTGTGTAGAAACAATCTTTGATCATTCTTTTTTATTCATTAAAATCACCCTCAGCAAATTTCCACTTAGCAATTCATTGGAACTCCAGTAGATATTTGGAAAAATTAAAATGTTTTTTTTAAAATTCTGAATTATACCTCTTCAATTTGGTCTTCTCTTCATGCAGACACTATTAGTGATTTATTTTTTTTTTGGGGGGGGGACAGGGATTAAACTCAGGGGCACTAACCACTGAGCCACATCCCCAGCCCAATTTTGTATTTTATTAGAGACAGGGTCTCACTGAGTTGCTTAGTGCCTCACTGTTGCTGAGGCTGTCTTTGAACTTTTGATCCTCCTGTCTCAGCCTCCTGAGCTGCTGGGATTACAGGCGTATGCCACCGTGCCCTACTTGCTAGTGATGTTTCACCATTCTTTTTTCTATCGCTTAATGGAAACACACATACATAAAATTTAAATTAGTTTGGAATTATGAACTATGAACAAGTCAAATATAATATTGAAAAATGCTATTTTTAAAGTATCACAATGGTTTAACTATGCTGTGCTTTTATAATTATAATATAATTCCCATATCATTAGATTTGGTCTTTTAAAATGTAAAATTGAGTGTGTTTTAGTACATTCACAGAATTGTACAACTGTAATCACTATCTAGTTCTAGAACATTTTTATTTCCCAAAAAGAAACCACATACCCATTAGCTGTCACTCCCTATTCCCCACTCCCCTTGCCTCTGTCAACCACAATGTTGTTTCGGTCTCTATGAATTTGCCTATTCCGCTGGGATTGTAGGCATGCGCCACTGTGCCAGCTGGGTACAAGTTTTTGTGTGGATGTTTCCACTTCTCTTAGGCACACACTGAGGAGCAGAGCTGCTGAATCAAATGGTAACTCTATGTTTAACATTTTGAGGAACTGCTAGATTGCTTTCCAAAGTGGCTGCACCAGCAAAGTGTGATGGTCCCAGTTTCTCCACGGCCTTGCCCATACCTGTTATTGAAGGTCTTTTTATTATTATTATTATTATTATCATCATCATCATCATTCTATGGTTGTGAAGAAGTAATTCATTTTAATTTGCATTTCCTGAGTGACTTAGATGGTGGACATCTTTTTACATGCTTATTGGACATTTGCATAGCTTGTTAGGAGAAATGTCTTCAGATCTCTGTTCCGCCCATTTTTTTTTTTTTTTTAACAGAGCCTCCTTCATGTTAAGCACGTGTTGTACCACTGAGGTACATACCCATCACTTCTTATTTTATTTTGAGACAGGGTCTTGCTTAGTTGCCTAAGTTGGCCTCAAATTTGCCATCCTCTTGCCTCAGTTTCCCAGATAACTGGGAGTATAAATGGACACCACTGCACCCGGCTCTGACCACAATTAAATTGTGTTGTCTTTTCGTTGTTGAGTTGGAAAATTATGTATTCTGGATACAAGATTTTCATCAGATATATTATTTTGCAAATACTATTTTTCATTCTTTTCACTTTTTCACTCTCTTTATGGTATTTCTTTTTTGCTCAAAATAAATAATTTAATGTTTTCTGAGAACATCATAGATATTACTACTTCCATGCCTTTATTCACACCCTTTTCTCTACCTTCTCAAATATTTCCTTTATACAGCCCTTCTCTGAGAAGCCACCCTCAGCCACAAACCATCAGTTAAAACCTCTTATTTAATCCAAAATGTGTCAAATGCCATTTTATATATAGAAAATAATGAATCACTACTGAAACTCTAATGAATATTATAACTTACCCAATATTTATTTTCAGTTTTATTTATTAACTTGCTAAATGTTAATTATTTAAGAGAAAAAAATCTTGATGGTGTTTTTGAGGCAGAAAGGTTTTTAATTTTCATGAGTCCAATTTATCTATTCTTTATTTTATGTCTTTTTAATGCCACACAATTGTTTTCAAAAGGGCTTCAGTTTATGTGTTAGATTTCTGAGAACAGTATACAAAGAGGTTATGGTAGTCAGATAAGTAAAGAAGTAGATAGGTGAGAGAGACAAGGACCGGAGCCCTAATACTAGTCTTCCTTCTTTGATGCACTGTTAAAAAATGTTTTTATACACATTTAGACTTTTACAAATATTGTATAGCATCTGCCCTTTTCTTTAACATAAATGTAGGTAATGCATCAGTTCTAATTCCTTAATTTCCCCTCATCCTTAATCATTCAGGCTTTACCTTTGTCGATGAAGGTACTGATCCCATGTGGATTAAAAAATTTTTCGTCAAATCCATCACTGATTTTCAGTGCTTGTGCCCTTGGGTTTTGTTCGTTCAGATCCATCAAGTAGATTTTTCCTGACGCATCTGGTGCCAAATCTGGCATGCTTGGATATTTTAATCCCTTTTAAAAAATAGAGAATAGGTATGCACACATATACATATTAAAATAACATTTTCATGTGGAAGCTAAAAATCTCAAAGCCAAACAAAAATGTTCAGAGTTCTACATTCATTTAGATATCTGAGGTTTTCGACATGGTCAGCTCTTGCCCTTATCTGATTTGTGGGTTACCAATGTCATCTCAGCATTGGCTATGGATATGCGAAGAACCGTATTCAAGATAAGGAAACATTTTTAATTTAGAAAGGGTAGGACAAAAATTATAAAGCAAAAGGCCAGACTGCTTTGTTTTGTGTATGTCCCTTGGCAAGCCTACTGCTTAGTTTCCTCATTTATAGAGGAAATTGAAATTTGTGGTTGCTAAATATTCCTTATTCCTCTTTATTTTGAATGGATAGTGTTATCTCCTACTCTTCTAAAAAGACAACACCACTTTTTCCCAATTACCTACTTTTTCTCTCGGTTTCTTCAGTTTTACCCATTCTCTTCCTTTCTCCCTCTTTTCTCAAGGAAGAAGCCTCCCTCTTCTATTGTTACATTGACATCTTCCACCTATTTGCTTGTTCCCTGTTCTCTAGGGCCTGTCTTTAGAAATCATGACTTCTCTCTTTCTCTTGCTGTATTACTCATTTTTCACCAATAGCTTCTTCTTTGGCCTGAAAAAAAATTCTCATATTTCTCTTTCCTTGAAACAAATCTCCTAAATTTACTCCAAATACATGTTTATTTCTCTTCCCTTCACCATCAAATTTTTCAGAAACATCACCTGATTTGCTCCAATCCTCAATTCCCTGAAATCAGCATTCTGCTCCTGCCAGCTGTAAAAATGTCTCCATGAAGTTCTACCAATGGTCTCCAAAATATTTTACTTGACAGCCCTTCTATCCTTCCTTCCTTGCATCTCTGAGGTACTTGACATTATATGTCAAAAAGTCAAAGATAGAGTTTAGAGATAGGAATACTGCTTCCATTCCTCCCCGCTTGGATTTCTTCTTCCTTCTGTCCTCTTCCATCTCTTTTCCCTTCTTGCTCTTTCCTGGTAGGTCTCATTCGTAAGATTTCAGGTATCTCCTCTGCACTAATGACTTTCAAATGCATGTTTACCTATAACCTGTCTTTTTGGTGCTCTAGCAAATACCAAATACCACCTAAGGGCAGCTCAAAATCAATTTGTCAAAATCCAAGTAAATATCCTCCTGTTAAATTCTTTCTCTCATGGATATTTATTCTTCTCTTAAGGACATCACCATTCTTACAATATCAGGCATTCATAACATTCGATCTTCAAGTCCATTCTATCTCCAGAGCCAATTGTCTCCAGGCCTAGTAGCTTAGAGAATGGGAGCACTGGAAGAAGAAGAACGTGAACATCTAGTCTCTACGTCCCCTTTCACCTGAGGAAAATGAAGTGCAGAGAAAAGATTTGCCTAAATCATCCTGATCATTCACTGTACTGCCTTTTTCTGCCAGGAAGAAAAGTTCTGCCTCTTTCTGCAGGAAGAAAAATTTGAGAGTGGAGAATATTGCTCAGGAAGATACCTCAAGTACACCTCTGTAAACACCTTGGTAGCCTGGAGACAGACGAGGGCACTGCCTACTAGGGGAAGGACTAGGTGCTCTAGAAATGACTCAGCCTGAATTAAGTGTAACAATGAATAAAACCCTTCTGATAAAAGGCCTCACACTCACCATGGTTTCTGTTTAAGGTAGGTGAGAATTAGTGGCAGCAGTCCTACTGTGTGCTAGTGATGAAAGGTAACTCTTTGCATACTATAAATAAACCCATGGAAATGGTGACAATCATCTGGAGATGCAGGCAGCTTGTTTTCTACAACAGACTACAGGTATGTGTGGACAATCATCGAAATCCTCCACTATTCTCATTAACCACCCCATGCATTCAGGAAAATTCAAGTACCCACCTATGCCAGGGGGTGTGTTAGGTGCTGGGTATGTCAATGACCACTTCAAAGTCCCGGTTCTATGAAACTTGAAGTCTAGTGATGCAGCAACAGGCCAGTACATCAGGATGTATGGCATATGAGAGCATTAAAGTTCAGAGGACATGGGGGGCCATAGAAGAGAGTCCATCCAGCAAGGGAGTGCTATGGAAGACTTTCCTGAGGAGGTAGAGTGTCACCACAGTGAGGTCCACGAACAGGAGTTAGCTGGCAAAGTGTGAAGGAGAGTAATCTTGCCGGCAAAGAGAAGCATGCCAAGTCCCAAGTCAGGGAAGAAAATATCTTGTTTGGCACCTCTGAATAGACTAAAAATATCTACTGTGCAAAATTACTCCCTAAATCTGTAGCTTCCAAACATCTGGGATGGCAAGAAGAGGTGAAAAGGAGAGACCAACAAGAACAAGATCTTGAATGTGTTACAGCACAGAAAGATTAGAAATAACCAGAGCATGATCCTTAGCCTCTAAGAATAAGTTATTTGTTAGTGTGAAAAAAGAGACTCATTATTCAGAAATTCATGTTAACATTCCTCATGTAATATTTGAGATGAAAATATCTTCTTTCTGCCCAGTAATAATTTTGAAGCTTCCTTACAGTGAAAACAAAACAAACAAACAAAAAAGAATACAGACAATATGATTGATGTATGTACATTCCATGTATGTATTATATATCAAAATTCATTCTGCTGTCATGTATGACTAAAAAATAAATAAATAAATAAAAATTAAAAAAAAAGAAAAAAAAAGAATACAGGAGTAATAACAAACATTATTTCCTAATAGCAAAGAAATTTCCTAGCTACAGAATCATCATTTTTGAAGGTCTGTTTGGCATAACACTAAAAATTCAGCTTGACAATAGGAAATTTAGGTCAACAAAGTAAAATCTTTTCTTTTTTGATTTTGGAAGAAAAATAAAGAAATAAAATCCCAACCATAAATGCCACCACCAGCGGTTTAAAATCCAAATGAGACCTCCCCTGTACTTTACCATGCATAATTCAGAATTTAGAATTTCAGGACATGGTTACATAGGTGCCTCATTTTTGTCCAAATATGTTTAGATTTAAAATTCATGTTCTCTTGTGATATTTTTAATGGCCAAATGGAATATCAGACATTTAATTCTAGCAATAAAAATTCATTCACATTAAAAATATGATAAATCCACTTATTCAAAATCTTAAACCCAATTCCAATATGTACAAGTGCATGATAATCTCAAAACCCATTCCAACTTAACAAATACATGATAATTTTCAACATTTCACAAGGATGCAATGGTTTTGCTTATTGATTTTCAGTCGCTGGCATAATTTCGAGATCATTCCAAACTCAGAAAGGTGGTATTAGAAACAAAATGTAGGTTCTTCTCTACTTCTGTTTGAATGACGTGGAAAGAATGGCAAAGACTCTAAGATGAAAAGTGCTCAGGGTTTTGAACTGAGTTAACATTCAATCCACTAACACAGAGCTCCAAACATAAGCAAGCAAAAAGAATACGAGTTTGTGAGAAGATGACTACCGGAAACAGACCCAATCCATCAGGGCAATGATGGAGACGGTCAGCAACAGGACAGATCTGAAGATCAGCCTGGGAATCAAATGGAAATCAATACACATTTATTGAGATCGTAGTGAGTGTGCAGCTGACCACAGGGAACTGCCCTGCATGGGGCAGTCAAAGCTGGGCATTCCTGTGGTGTTCTAATTAGCCCTCCAGATTCCTATTTGGGCTTTTTTAGTTGACTTGTCTACCCAGAGGCGGGATGAGAGTATGGGGTCCATCTGGCAGCCCTAGCTGACAACATTAATGCACTGTCTATACAACTATTGATGTGAGCATCAGAACAGCCTGGATATACTCACATTGGAGATAAAAGCCAGCCCACTAGGAAGTATATCAATATCTTCAGAGCCATTTTCTGTAAAGAAAAGAAAAGAAAAAAAAATCAGAAAGATGCATATATGAAGGTTTAAAAATAAATCTCTTAGTCCAAACTTTGAATGTCTTTTAGAAAGTACACTGACTTTTCAACCATTTACTTGGGAAACTCTAATATAGTTTTAACTTTCAGGAATCCCACAGGCATGCTACTGTAGAAGAACGCCTGAGTCAGACTCCTCAAATACTACATTCTTTTTTTAGAACTCATTTTCAAGATAAAAGGTAAATAACTAGAGAATAAATTTCTATCTTAGATTTATCTTTGAAATAACAATTTTCAGGCTATGTCCTGAGAGATTCGGCTTTATTCCACATAGAAGGCTTGTCTACAGACTGAATGATAAAATCTGGAAAGTCATAATTGAGAAGTTCTCTTATAGGCCTCTCTCTGAAGCATTCCTCCTCTTTGAGCTTGTTGAGTCCCCCCAAATCTATCATTATACAGCATATTGAGAAATTACTAAATAATTATTTTCTGTTATAAACAGCTATAGGTCTTAGGATAAACTATTGAGTATAAATGAATTTGAAAGAATTTAATCAGATATCTCATTGAGAACTGCTCTTGAGCTTTTTTTTTCTCATGGAAAGAAGCATATAAGATAGAAATTTTGGTTGAGAACAAGATGAAAAAGGGGCTGGCATGGTTTATGGTAGGGAGATAGATCCACTCAAGACCTGGTCCTAAGCAAGCAGGACTGATACAGAAGGCAATGGGCATCTAGGTTGGTGAACTATATTCTACAAATATCAGAATCAATGTGTACCATGGGCATATGTTCTTAAAAGCGTGAGGTACACCCTCTTCCACTAAGAGATAAGATCTATCATCTCTCCCCTGGAGCCTAGGCAGACCTTTGTAATTGCCTTTACAAACAAAATTAAGCAAATATAATGCCATATCCAAGGCCAAGTATCCTAGCCGTAGCTGCCCAAGGGCACACACACTCATGGTCTTTCTGTATCTGTATGTCTATCAATTCTATCTCTTTCTCTCCTAAGGCATCTTGGGATCCCTGAACTGAAATGTAAGAAATATGTTTATTCTAAAGCTACAGAGGAAAGAATGCAGAGAAACCACACAAGGTGGAGAGAGAGATATCACAGGAGCCCCAGAGGACTCCTGTTCCCAGCTCTTGAGTTGCCTTCGTGGATGCAAATAGAGCAGGTGAAATGTCCCCATCAAGTCCTGTCCAAACTGCAGTCATAGGGCTGGGGTATAGCTCAGGGAGTAGAGCACTTCGCTAACTTAAGCAATGTCTTGGGTTCAATACCCAGAACCATAATAAAACTATGAATTATAGTCATAGTGAAATAACTGGTTTTTTTTTTTTATGTCACTAGGTTTTCAGGTGGTTTGATACACAGAGATTAGAACTTGTGGAAAAAGGTTACCCAGGGAAATGGATTACTAGGTTGTCACTTGGCAATTGAAGGAGAATGGGGAGAATCTAGGCAATGAAAGTGGGACGAAACCAAAAAAAAAAAAATGCAAAGTTGAATCAATAAAATTATGAGTAATAGGCATTGAAAACTAGAAAAGAAAGATTTAAGTTTATTCACTATACTGAAGGTCAAAACTAATCCCCAATTAGAAATATGAAAAATAAATTAACTAGATCTTTCCATTCCCTAAAAATGCTGGTTAATCAAGATTTACCTGTACATAGTATCTTGGTGCCTGGAAGATTTAGTGCTATTTCACATGGAATGACATAGACATTGGGAGAATCCACCACATAAAAACAAAGGAATTTTAAGCCAGGCATGGTGGTACATATCTGTAATCCCAGAGGCTGAGACAGAATGATTGCAAGTTCAAAGACAGTCCCAGCAATTTAGTGAGGTCCTAAGCAACTTAGAAAGATCCTGTCTCAAAATAAAAAAAAAATAAAAAAGGGCTGGGTTGTGGTTCAGTGGTTAAGCACCCTAGGGTTAATCCCTAATTAAAAAAAAAAGTCAAATTTTAAAAATCACAGATTATTTACTTTTCTAGGGTTTCTTTGGCATCATCACATACTCCTACTTGGTTTGTTTCACCTTAATCTCCTCCCCACCTCTTTCCTAAGTATCCAGGATCTTTGATTCTTTCTCATGGCAGAGCACACATGCTATTTGCATAGTTCACTCCAGTCCCATGGCTTCAACTTTCACCCACCACATGCTCTTGATTCTCTTATCTCTACATCTAGTTCATCAAGTCCATCAAGTCCAAACCATTCTGTAAAGTTCTGTGGTCATTTGTATGTTGAATATTTCTCTTTTCTTTTCTTTTTTTTTTTTTATTCAACAGGTTTCAAAATGATTTGGAATAAGTTCCATTTAACTGTTTGTTGTTGCTTGTTTTTTTTTTTTTAATGCCAATGAATGGCACGTCTGTCTCAAGTACCCAAAGCAGAAAATGTGAAGCAATCTTTGATGCCTCCCTTTTCCTTAATACCTGTTATGGTGATACAAGGCGTCCCTAAAAGCTCATGTGTGAAAAAACACAAGAAAGTTCAGAGTGAAATGATTGGTTTATGAGAGCCTTAATCTGATCAGTGGATTAATCCCCTGATAGGGATTAACTGGGTGGTAACTGTGGTCAGGTAGGGTATGGCTGGAGGAGGTGGGTCACTAAGGGTATGCCTTTGGAGTTTATATATTTTTTTTGATAGTAAGGGGAGGGCTCCCCCTTCCCCCAATTTCTCTCCACCCTTCCTCCTGGTTGGTACAATAGCTTCGCAATAGTTTGGCTGTGTTCCATACACCCATTCTCTGTGTAGCTGACAGTCATATTTCTAAATTGCAAAGTTGACCTTGTCATTTCCCGGCCTGAAAACTTCCAGAGGCCCCATAAAGAAGCAGTACAAATCACGAGCTCCTTGATCTAGATCTCAATCCCCCACATCTGGGACCCCGTCTCAGTTCTCCCAGCTCCTGCCATCATCTCTGCATTCCAGCTGTGCTGTGGCACCTCTGTGCTAGTGAGATGGGCCAGAGCCACCTACATACCTGGGCACAGGCTGCTCTCCCTTCCCATATCACCCCCGCCTCTGGGCCAAGATCGCAGGCTCTTAGAAGGGGCATGGGAGGCAGTCCCTCATCCTTCCCAAATTTTCCTGGTTTCCATTTTTACTTACTAATACATCCACTTTATGTACTAAAATGGACACCGGTGACCACCTCCACTATGACGTTTCTCACACGAGGCAACTACCCTGTATTCATTTGTTAATTTCCTACTAGACAGAAAACTTCCTAGAAGCAAGTACTGTATTTTATTCAGTGTTGTATCTTTCCATCTGACACAATACCCACCTTTTCCAATGTAGACGCTTTCAATAAAAATTGGTTGGCTTAATAAGCAAAATAAACATTTATAGGTTTTTTTGAATTTTTTTTCTCATTTTGAAGTTCAACTTCAAGGGAATGTTATTTTCTAAATGCAGATGATGCCCAATTTAATAATAGTTTGAATTAACAAATGGTGCACAAGGGATAAGTGTTCAATAGAAACCTTACTTTGGATTTTGAATTCTGAGATTTTCCTCAGCTGTCTCTCCAAGTTGGGCTGTGGCAGTGAGCTGCAGCTCCCCCTCAGTCACTGGGTCATGAGGGGAAACAATTGACATTGCATGGGGTACTGTGTAGCGAACACAAGACATTCAGTGGGTTGGTGTATGGAATGCATGTTGGACTTGGGATATTTCCAATAGGTTTCTCAAGCCTTAACCTGCATCATAAGTCAAGAAGTCACTGTACAAGATATTCCAAGTCGTGTGCTCTCTGGTTGGGCTCCTTTTCTCTTCCAAACACCACTTCACATATCTCCGAAGACAACATAAGTCTACTTCAATAACTCAGTTTTTGGAGGTATTGCGCTCCTTCCAGAGCACAAGGAAGTTGGTGCTCTGCATTCAGAAGTATAAAAAAATTACCAGTTCATCTACTACCACCCTCCTTAGCCCTGCCTATGCTGCATCTGCATGATGGGCCCAGTTCCTATGAGCAACAGGGGCTCCTGTGGGAGTAAGAGCTCCAGAACAGTCTCCTCTGAGTTCTCCCCACACACTCATTAATCTGCACACAACCATCATTAAAACCCCACTGCTAAGCCAAAAAAATCTGTCTTATGAACAGTAGGGTACCCACTGTTTTCTAAGCTATCAATCCTACCACGACTTGGCATGATCTTTAATCTTCTTCATGTCTTTACTCATTTCCTATAGGCACCCTGAGAAAGGGTCACAGCAGAATTTATCATCACTTAGTTTTATAATTATTATTCCTCTGTTTGGAGAGAATGTTATGATAGCCGGCTAAGAAAACAAATGGAATCCACTATAGAGTAACAGCAAATCTTGTAGACGGGAGGCTACAGAGGAGAAAAAAGGTGGAAGGGAAGATGGGAGGCCCCAAATTAAAGGCTGCCCACATCAGCCCTAAGAAAGCTTGTTATATTTCAAGTGAACATTTGATCAGATGCCAAGGACAGTCAAGTTACTTCCTGATTAAAATAATCCTTGACCTTCAAAGCCATGACGCAAAAGATCAACAGTACAAAAAGAACTATGGGGTATACTTTCTGGAGGAATAAATATTTCACCTTTCAGTCTTTCCTCCAAGAAAGAATATTAGGGAAGGAAAACAAAAAAGGAAGAGTTTCTCCCATATATAAAATTAACCTCCAAAGTCTAGTCTTGAAAAAACACATATTAGTACTTCCTTGAGCTCTGTTATTCCTGTCTACATTCTACCTAAAGTCGATCAGTAGTTCTCCACCACTTCATAAAAACTACCATCAAAGAATTTTGTAACATTTCTGTTACAAAATGTGTTGTGAGTCAATAAGACAGAATTGGGTCTCAGCTGGGCATGGAGGCACACGTCTATAATCCCAGAGGCTCAGGAGGTTGAGGCAGGAGGATTGCCAGTTCAAAGCCCAGCCTCGGCATTGTAGGGAGACTCTAAGCACCTCAGAGAGACCCTGTCTCAAAATATAAAAAAGGGATGGGGATGTGGCTCAGTGGTTAAGCACCCCTGGGTGCAATCCCCAGTCAGCCTATATTTAGTAATATTCCAGCTGCTAGTATTTTCTGTTTTCTTCTGCTGCAACATTTTCTTGGAGCTTCTGTTACAAAATGTGTTGTGAGTCACTAAGACACGTAGCATCACACGACATTGAGTATGAAGCCACAGAAGAAAACCATCCTGATTCCCACTTTAGGTCTGTCACCTTCTAGTTCTGGACTTTTGGGCAAGTAGCCTAATTCTTCCAGGTGTCGATTTACTATTCTGTACAGCGCAGACAGCAGCACCTACACTACAGATGAGTGATGAGGATTCCATGGAGTGCATTTAGGCTCCAAGCCTTTGATGAGCCAGCTTTTTAATTGTAGATGTATATGGGTATTGTCCTAGTGAAAAATGACCCATGGTCAGCCTAACTTGTCTATTTCTTCAAATATAACATGTAAATATATACAGTAGATATAAAAAGCAGCACCACATTATTTTTTTTCTGCTGCTTCTATCCAGCTTCCATTTATTTTCTCATTTTCTTCAAAATATTTGGATAATCAGAACACTGACCTGCGACTCACAATATTAACTCCAGTTTTAGTTTCTGGAATTTGGTAGAGTTTTACAATCTAAAAGTCAGACCAGACCTTAGCAATCATCTAGTCTAATTATCCCATTAAATAACTCGGCAGGCTGCTGTCTTTTGAGAGATTTATGTGCAGTAAGTATGATTATTATTCCTCAAGACAGTAAACAAATATGTAAATGTCACATTTCTTTGTTCTTCAAATACAATTAAATCTAACTCTGATCCTCTATTTCAAGAAGCTGATGGGAAACTGAATGTGAGGCATTACTGGGTCTCTGGTAGGATTGTGCAATGATCTTGGTGGTGGTTCTTAAAATCAAGCAGTAAGTTTGCTCGCTGCCAGGACTATGGGGACCCTTTGATTTAGACAATTCTGCCACTTGCACAATTCTGCTGTGCACAGTGTCTTTGGTCTAGCCTCCCTAAGGATACCTTGTATCCCTCCTTCTGAGGTCCTGCGCCTCTCCAGAATGCTGTCAAACAGTGGGGCAGGAGTCCCTGCTACTCAAAGAAAGCCACATATTCTCATCCCTTTTCATCAGAACCCTTCAGAGGCTCAGGTTCTCAAAATCAAATATCAGCAAGGGGTTTGTCTTTCATTATGCCTTTTGGCTGGCAAAACCAACCACTTCTAAGATGGGGAAGAACAAGGTCCTGATGACTCCTTTATAGAAATTCAGTGGGAAGAGAAGTAGAAAACCCAAACCAAAAGAATCCCCCTTTTTTTGTTTATTTTTGGTTTTTTAAATACATATAGCAAGAAAAATAAAATACAAATTCATATCAGAAAATAAACTTTCCTGTCACATACCAATAAATAAGTCACAGTCCTTGACCTTAGGGGTTTGCAAGCCGAGAGTGAAAGCGAGTATTTGTTTTGTAGTGTTAGCTACAAAATAACGCATGTGGTAGATGCTGTGAATGAATCAGAGTCTCTGAAGGCTGTGAGAACTCAGAGGAAAGACATGAGTAGCTGATTTCAGGCAGCAGAGATGAAGGCTTTCGTAACTAAAGGTAAAGAAGCAATGAACACGTTCCCAGGGAGGTGAGCAGATTCTATCCTGATTTTTAATTATTTTCCAGTAGCCATGTCAGGAAAAATTAGAGGCTTGGATCCCAAATAAACAGTATGAGGGTGACTAGTAGATGAGATCGGCCCCGTAGGGGTACAGAAGAGACACGTGCCCCTGAGTCTTATGGGCATCCTGAGGGACAAGGGGGAAATGAACGGTTCCTGGGTTTTGAACTAAGCCTCTTGAAGATGGGATACCACACACAGAAGTCTAGACGATCTGGCTATGGGTGGGGACATGACGGGAAACAACAGAGATGTAAAATAGACTTCTTCGAAGATTGAGTCAAAAGCATAGCTACCCTTTAGTTGACGGGAAAAGAAGGCCTGCTGTTTGAGAAGTTGGGGATCTAACTGTGGATTTTAGAGTAATTTTTTTAAGAAAGACATCTAGGTAGGCTGAGGTTCTCCAGGGTAAATGCTAAGTCAAATTCCTCATGGTACTTGCTGGTAAATGTAGAAGGAAATAATACCTGAAGATAAGACTCTCATCAAGGAGAGTGAGGGAGGCAGAAAAAAAAAAAGGAAAGAATAGAAAAGAGAAGGAGAGGAGGGAGGGAGGGAGGGAGTAGCACAGGAAGGAAAAGAGAAAAAAACTAAGGGCAGGTAACAGAAGAAAGGCAAGAGAACAAAATACCACACAAGGGGAAAGAGGGAACATCAGCAAGAGAACAGCCAGGGAATAGTCAAATATATTCTTCAAATGACAAGAGATATGTCATTAAGGAAACAGGCTGAGAACAAGTCCTAGATATTGGTATTTTGGAGACTTTGCATGGTATAGCTTGGGTAAAGTGGGTGATGCAGCAGCCACATCACGAGTGTCTAAAAAGTAAGTGAATCAAATCATTTTTTTTCAGGCTCAGTTAGGTGGATGGTGACCAAGAAACTGTACGAGCCCCTGTAGGTGCTGTCACATACATACCAAGTCCCTCTATGAGATAGCAGTTCTGGAGTTCTACAGGTTCCAATTCTCGAGTTGCATTAATTCTTTCTCTGTAGAAAACAAAACCCAATACAGATGTCAAGGTACTTCAAGAGTGGTTGACTCTTCGTGCTAGTTTATGAATGACATAACAAACAAGTAGGCAACTCCTTTTATTTATGTCTTTCCCTAACATGGGCTTTATATGAGTAATGTGCCCCATCAGCTAACTTTACTGTTATTGCTGAAAGACTAAACATGATTACACATGGTAAATACTTGCTGTCCAAATAAAAGACACGATTGAATGGTATGAGTAACTGAATGATATTATTAATTTAAGTGCACAAAGTTGTATTATTTAATTTTCTAAAGTATTATCTATTATAATTGTCTGCATTTCTGCCCTTCGTCCTTTATGGTCGTGCATTTTTGGATCTCCACCCCCACCCCCAGCCTCTACCAAATGCTTCCATAATTTCTACATAATTTGTCTCTGAAGAGTTAAACCTCATACTTTTACTTTCATCGTATTATTTTTAAGCTTATACTGACTTAGTTTGCAAAACTGTAAATTTATTCAGCTGACCGCCATTTAAACAATTGGCCAAATTATTTTGGGGTCCTGTGTTCCTATTTCCACAGTGAAGCATTCTTCTAAATATTATGTATTTTACTAAATAATATTTGGAAAGACTACACTTGGCTTATCTTTTAATACTAAGTAATATTTGGGAAGACTACACTTACCTTTTAATTACTTACAAAACATACCCCTTAGGGTTGGTGGTATAGCTCAGTGGTAGAGTGCTGCCTAACTCTACCCAGCACCACCCAGAAGAAAAACAAAAATCAACCAAAAAAAAAAAAAAAAAAAAAAGCAAACAGCAGACAAAACAAAAAACCCTTAAATAGACTTTATTGTAATTTTATGATTCCATCATTTGTTTACTCTGGAAATAAATGTAACAATAAACACTTCAGCTAAACTAGAAAGTATCGCCAACACGCACCAGACATCTCAATAGATTGTGAACGTGAACTTCTGAGAAGAACAACTACTACTTAGGAAAAGAAATGAAAACAAAACAAAACAAAAAACAAACAAACAAAAAATCCAAAGACAGCTGAAGGCAAGCAGAGGATTTAGATCCATTCAGGAACATATACGTCGTGTCACTACTTGAAAATTCTTTCGAGCCCAATGCTGACTCCCTGAGACCTTAGAGAAATAGGGAACACCTCGAGTTCTTCCACTTCAAAAGGTCATATCCCTCCAAAATGCCAGTTACCACCTGCAGGTGTTCCAACTCTTCTGTGCTGTTGATCTCGCTCTTGGAACCCGGGATAGGCCCTGTAACTTAGTACTTCTCAATGTTCACTCAGGTGTCCAATGACTGTGTCAGCACTAAAGAGGCAGCTGGTGGCCTGTCCCCTCCCCCAAGTCCGGGTGCGTCCCCCAGGGGTTTGCTTTTCCACAAGCAGAGTGTTGAGGGTGACCTGGGAAAGCAGGACGTGGTTTTCAGAAAACAGATGTGGGCGTTTCTGCCCCATCGCCCTGGGAAAGACAGACAGCTCACTTTTCACAGAAGTGATTCTCGGAGCACTGGATGGGATTGAGGAGTGAGGTTTCAAACCTGCGCCTGCCATCGGGGCCGCCCTTGACCTAACTTGGACCACCAGAGAAAGAGAGCCAAAGGAGCCCCCGTCGAGATACCCACTCACCTAAATGCCAGTAAGCGCTCCCCGATCAAGGCCAGGCTGGCCCCCAGCAGGGTCAGCACCACGAGCTTCCCCATGGTCTCGGGGTGCCCAGTGGCGACCAGCGGGCGCCGCGGATTTGCGCAGGGTGCCGTGGCAGGCTCGGTCACAGACGGTGATAGGCGCCTGCCGGACCCCGCCTGCCCGCCGGTCCTGGGGGAGGTGCGCTGTACGGGGTGCGCTGTCAGGTGCTGCGGGCTCCGCGCCTCGCCGCCCAGGTTCAAAGTCACCTTTACGAGCAGAGTTCAAGGAAACCTTTATTCGTGGGGGTTCAAGAAACTCTTGCTCGGTTCCGAAGCCACCCTTCCGCGCGCTGTTCCTTTCCCCATCTCCACTCCAGGTTTCAGTGACAGAGAGGGAGACAGGATCCGCCAGTTCAGGATCAGCCAGTTCAGGGTTGTGGTTCTCTTGGCAGCTTTGGCAAGAACGCACCGGATCCTGGACAGATGCACTGAGTTTGCTCCTAAAAACCTTGGAATTTAACCTCGGTTCTGGACTGAAGGGGGGCTGAAGGAGCCGGGGAGGGTGGGAAGCTAAAATTCATAGCCCCAAACTTGGGGTTTCTGGCAGGCAAGACCTGAGATGAGATGAGCAGAATCTCTCTGGAGACACTGAGGAGGAGAGAAAATAACTGGAAGCCAAGATCTTAATCTCATTCTTCTCTGAGATTTGGGGCATAGGACCTTGCCTTCCAATGTCCATAAACGACATCAGAGAGCTGAACGTCAGGGGTGTCCAGTTCCAGGACTTGGACTGTGAATAACAGTATCTGTCTCCAACGTTGGTGGGATAAAGAAAAGTCAGGAGAAGAGGAGGAAAAGAAATAGGAAACCAGAAGATGAGAATGGAAAAAAAAAAAAAGTTTTCTTAGGAGACTTTCAAAATTTTCCTTGACCCTTGTTTCTAGGATTTCAGTTACTCCCAGGTGAGGAATACACTTTCCCCTTTTCTAAAGATGACTGAGTTGGAGGAAAATGGCTGAAGAAGGGAAAGACGTGGAGTTTAGGCAAAGTGTCATTTTCTGGTGTGATCTTATTTTTATTTATCAACAAAAAGAAATAGTAGTCCTGTTGCATTCAAGTGAGTAAAAAAAAAACACCCATTTTTTTGAAAGATTGAGATTGTCTAGACTTAAGGATATAAAGAAGGATAAGGTGATCCTTGATCTGTGATACATAAGTATAATATGAATACATTATATAAGATGAATAATGAAGCCTTTCACTTGTGCACCACTTAATTATGTGCTGAGTGTGTGCTTATAACCTTATTTATGTTAACTTTTCAATTCTCAGAATAACCTCTTAGTTACATAGCATTACCCCTTATTTTGCACATGAGAAAACTAAGGCACAGAGTGGTTGTGAGATTTGCCTTAGGTCACACAGCAGATTAAGTGGCTGAGTCCAACAGTCTGGCTCCAAAATCTGTGCGGCCTCCACAATGCTGCATCTATTAAAGCTATGGAAGAAGGGGGATGCTAAAAGCACATTAACATCTGGAGTTGTAAAAATAAGACTATTCTCTTTAAGATGAGTTATTTACTTATTTAATATTTTTTATATTTCTGGGGATCAAAGCCAGGGTCTCACACAGGCTAGGCATGTGCTGTACCACTGACCTATACCCTCAGCCCTAAGATCGATAATTCTAAGAATGCAAGCATAGGAGGGACTGGATGTTAGTTCCACGGTGACTTGGGAGAAGGAGGGCTTACAGAGCTGAGGACCCAAGGGGTGTGATACAGGTTTGAGTGTCAAGCTTCCTGGGTTTGGACTAGCTTTAGTTAGGCACTTAGCTTGTTAAAGTTTCAGATTCACCTTCTGTAAAAGGGCATCAGCTTTGTAGGTGGCTTAAAAGCAAGGGTGATAATAAATGTAAAGTGCTCAGCACCGTGCTTGACACATTATAGAATTCCACCAAGATCAGCCTGGGTGAAGTCTGAACCACCTCGAGGCTGAGGGCTTCTGTGGGAAGAGACCCTGCCCATTGACCACTGGATCCTCCAGTGCTTTCCACTCTATGCTTAAAAAATTATTTCAATCAATATGACTAAATGAGTGGATCGGAGGAGGTGGATGGATGTTGAGAGCCACAGCCTGAGGGGCCCCAGCAAACTTCCAGCTGCCAGCAAACTTCCAGCTGCCGGCTGATGATTGGCTCACAGCAGCCCCAGCAACATCTAGCTGATTGGCTCCTCGGCCCCAGCAACATCTAGCTGATTGGCTCCTCTGCGGTGATGCTCATTGGACTGTTTCCCTGCCCTTTCAGACCACGGAGCTGCTCATTGGGGGACTTTTTTGGCTCCGCCCACGTGACCCAGCCAATCGGCCTCAAGAGCAGGAGGATTGTGGGAGGTGAAGAGAAGCTTGTGTGGGAGAGAGAGGCTTGGGGAAAGCCGGTGGTGGCAGTTGAGGCTCTGAGGGTTTTTCCTGAGAGACTATTTTGTTTGTTGTGTGTGGTTCTAAAAATAAAGTTAGTTTCTTTTGACAAGTGGCTCCTGATTGTGCCCAGCCAGACTGCGGCATTTGGTGGCTCGCACGGGGAGCGACTGAGGGTAAGTGAACTGCTCGCCCCTGAGGGCAGGGCGAGAGGATGGGTAGCCATTTTAAGATTCTTCTTTTGTTATTTTGTTTCACTTTTGTTTTAAGTTGCCTGTCCCTGGAGATGTGTAAGATGGAAGAAAAACCGCTCACATCTGAGGAACAGATAGGGAGAAAGGACGGATGGACATTTCAGGAGGCTATTATAATGATTTTGTGTTGTTCCAATTTTGTTTCACTCAGTTTCAGTTTTGTTAGGCGTTATCTTGTTGGGTTGTATTATAGTAGAAATACGGGATCAGAAATTAGTAAAAAACAAACTGAAAGAGTGTTAAGTAAATTGTTAGAGGAAGGAGGCATCTCAGTAAAATCAAGAACAATCAGGGCATACGTTGATACAATACAAAAATGTAGCCCATGGCTTTTTAAGGAGGAGTTGTTAAATATATCACAATGGAACCATCATGGTGAAGATTTAAAAAGAATAGAAAAGAAAAGCCCAGGGACTCTGCCAGTTGGCACATTGCCATTGTGGACATTCGTATCTTGTTTGCTTAGTCCAAAGCCTTCAGTTCAGACAATGGTAGAGGAAGGAGAAGACATAATGATTCAAGTAAAAGAGAAGGTCTCTCAAGTTAGTCAGACAGAGGAAAAGATTCAAGTAAAAGAGAAGGCCTCTCAAGCTAGTCAGACAGAGAAAGAAAGTGTAAAACAGAAAAAGCCATCAGGGGGAAAGTTACAACAGGAGACTGCTACTAACACCTTTCTATCACCAGAGGGTGTAAGTGTCCAACCAACAGCACCACCTCTACAGGAGACTGCTATGGGCTACTGGATACAGGTGCAGACCTTAGCATCATCTCTCGTCAAGAATGGCCAAAACATTGGCCATTACAACAAGCCACTCAAACGCTTCGAGGCCTAGGAGTGGCGACTAATCCCCATAGAAGTGCAATGGTATTAGATTGGAAGGATCCTGAAGGATGTGAAGGAACTATACAGCCATATGTATTGGATCATCTTCCCGTAAATTTATGGGGACGAGATGTCCTAGATCAATTAGGTTTGACATTAACAAATAACATCAACCAAAATGCACCCACTATTATGACTAGACAAGGTTTTAGGAAAGGAAAAAGATTAGAAAAACAAGAACAAGGTATAGCAGCACCAATACAAATAGATCAAGGAACAGACAGACATGGGTTGGATTTTCAGAAAGGGCCACTGAGACAATAAAAATTACTTGGAAATCAGAAAGACCAGTATGGGTTCCTCAGTGGCCCCTGACTAAAGAAAAGATACAAGCAGCCCATGACCTGGTCAAACAACAATTAGCAGAAGGACATATACAACCTTCTGTATCTCCCCATAATACTCCCATTTTTGTCATCAAAAAGAAATCTGGTAAATGGAGATTATTGCAAGATTTAAGAGCCATTAATAATGAGATGGTTATTATGGGACCTGCTCAATCAGGGATTCCTCAGTTGTCTGCTTTGCCAAAAACCTGGTATGTTTTAGTTATAGATATTAAAGATTGTTTTTTTTCAATTCCAATTCATCCTGAGGATAGTCCACGTTTTGCATTTACTATCCCTGCACTGAATCATGAAGGTCCTGATCAGAGATATGAATGGAAAGTACTCCCTCAAGGGATGGCTAACAGCCCAACTATGTGTCAAATTTATGTTAACAAAGTAATCCAGCCACTTAGAAATCAAAATCCTGAACTACAAATATTTCACTATATGGATGATGTATTATTAGCACACAAAGATAAAAACACATTGCTAGAATGTTATGCCACACTTACAAACTTATTAAAAAATTATAATCTAGAGATAGCAATAGATAAAGTACAATTAAATTTTCCAATTAATTATTTAGGAGTTCTACTATCCTCAACCATGGTCCGTCCACCAAAAATTCAAATACGAGTAGATCAACTCAAATCACTTAACGACTTTCAAAAGTTATTGGGAGACATAAATTGGATAAGACCTTATTTAGGTATACCAACAGGAGAGTTGGGACCTTTATTTGATATCCTAAAAGGTCCATCAGATCCAAATTCACCCCGAATGTTAACGCCTGAAGCAAGAAAGGCATTAAAAATCATTGAAACATATATGGAAAATATGCATTTGGATAGAATTGATATAAGTTTGCCTTTATTATTTATTGTACTACCAACAAAAAATATTCCTACAGGAGTATTTTGGCAAGAAGGTCCATTATTATGGATACATTTATCTTATTCTCCTAACACTATTCTTACTAGGTATCCTGAGGCTGTAGGACAATTAATACTCAAAGGAATAAAAGCAGCGAAGGGAGTGTTTGGAATTTCTCCCAATAAAATTATTACTCCATATACTATGAATCAAATTGATGAGTTAGCTAATGAGTTAAATACTTGGGCAATAATCATGTGTAAATCTAATGTTTCATTTGATAACCACTTACCATCTAATCCTTTATTGTCTTTTTGGTCATTGCATCCTGTAATTTTTCCAAAAATGACAAGAAAAACACCTATCATAAATGCTCCAAATATATTCACTGATGGGTCAAATAATGGTACAGCAGCAGTAGTTACCCCTGATCAAACTTTTACATTTTTAGTACCCAAACAATCAGCTCAAAAGGTAGAGCTTAATGCAGTTTTACAAGCTTTTGTGATGTTTAAAGATTCTGTATTTAATTTATTTTCTGATAGTCAGTATGTAGTTAATGCTATAGTATTTCTTGAAGATGCTGGTAGGATTTCCCCTTCTTCTACTGTTTTCTCTTTGCTTTCCACTATACAAAGTCTAATCTGGGACAGAAAAGATCCATTCTTTATAGGACATATCAGGGCACATACAGGATTGCCTGGAGCCCTTAGTTTGGGCAATGATTTAGCAGATAAAACTACACATGACATACATATTTTCTCTACACTAGAAGAAGCTATAAATTTTCATAAAAAGTTCCATGTCAATGCTAATACTTTACAAAAGCGTTTTAAAATAACTAAGGAACAAGCTAGACAAATAATAAAACAATGTCAAAATTGTGTGACCTTTTTACCACAAGTTAATCTTGGAGTCAATCCTAGAGGATTGATACCTAACCATATTTGGCAGATGGACGTCACACACTTGCCAGAATTTGGAAAATTAAAATATTTGCATGTTACAGTTGATACTTCTTCTGGATTTTTGATGGGCTCCCTTCATGCCGGAGAAAAAACTAAAGATGTTATAGCTCATTGCTTACAAAATTTTGCCACTGTGGGTGTTCCAAAACAGTTAAAAACAGATAATGCCCCTGGTTATACTTCTACCTCTTTTAAACAATTTTGCTCAACATTTGGCATTACTCATATAACAGGAATCCCATACAATCCACAGGGACAAGGCATAGTTGAAAGAGCTCATCAAACTATTAAAATGTACTTATTAAAGCAAAAAGAGGGAATTGGGAAGGGGTATATATTCCCCAAAGATAAACTTAAAATAACCCTTTTTACTCTAAACTTTTTAAATTTGGATTCATCAGGACTTAGTGCTGCGGAAAGGCATATGTGTCCAAAAAATGTACATAAGCCCAAGGTACTTTGGAAGGATATTCTAACAGGACAATGGAAAGGTCCTGACCCAGTAATTGTCTGGAGTCGGGGGTCTGTTTGTGTGTTTCCACAGGGAGAACAGCAGCCGATTTGGATTCCAGAGAGATTAACCAAGGTCCTGACCCAGTGATTGTCTGGAGTCGGGGGTCTGTTTATGTGTTTCCACAGGGAGAACAGCAGCCGATTTGGATTCCAGAAAGATTAACTAAAGCGATTTCTACAGACCAAAAAGAAGATGATTTGGCTCAAATCCATAACAACTGATATCCAAAACTCCAGTTTGGCTATTCTTACATCTGCAACAGAACCAGGATGCTTTTTTCAATATCTATTTTATTATTGCCCTTTGCCATATCATGAAGTTCTATTTTGTTTTTTGAGCTCATACAGACCTAGGTTAATGTTTTGCTGATCAGTTCTATTTTTTGACTATAGAGTTTTTAAACATTGCAATGGAGATTTCACCTGTAAAAAGTTATAAGGCCTTTACTATAATGTTATGTGTTGTATGTATTATATTATGTGTGCACACTTGTGTTTTGTGTTATATGTTTGAATGTACGTATGTCCATATATCATATATGATGAGCGCTCATGATAAAATGGATCCAAATATTTTTTTTTCACATGATTTATATGGTTTAATTTAAATTGGGTAAACAACTGTTGAGGATTGTTTTAATATGTAAACAAAAAAGAAGGTTAACAGATCTGTTTGTTTACTTTTACCTTTCCTTTTCATTATATTTAATAATTCTCTTAAAGATAATGTAAATTGTTAAGAAAATTGTTTTCTTTTAGTGCCTTCTGTAATGTTACATAATTTTTTCTTTAGCCATTATTGCCAGAATTCCTATCTTCATCCCAGTGCTGGTGAAGACAATGTAAATTGTTAAGAAAATTGTTTTCTTTTAGTGCCTTCTGGAATGTTACATAATTTTTTCTTTAGCCATTATTGCCAGAATTCCTATCTTCATCCCAGTGCTGGTGAAGTCAAAGATAAAACCAATCTACAGCTTCTACAATAGCCATCACTGAACTGCTTGCAGAACTTGCCTGGACACATTGTGAGCTCACCTGTATGCATTGTGAACTATCTGTTGGTGCAGCGACTTATGGTAGTGTTGGGGTATTTTTGCTGATGATGTCACCGGTGGTACAATTTTTCAAAGGAGCCCTCAATTGGCTTAATGTCATGCATCCTCCTCTACTAGTGATGGTCTAAAATTTGGGGGCCAACAGAGGTGAGGCAAAGAACCTCACCCCCCCACAGGTGCAAAGGCCTATCCACAAGTATGGCTATATGCTGGACCGGTAGTCAGTGACGGGTATGATCCAATTGCAGTGGTACCAACCTAAGACAGGAGGCTGACGCCTAGAGGTCAGTTCATCCGATGACGGGTAAGGACCATATGTTGAATTGGACTGCCTAACAGGCACGGTCCCTAAGCCACATGCTTGTTGTTTAAACAGAGAGGGGGAGATGTTGAGAGCCACAGCCTGAGGGGCCCCAGCAAACTTCCAGCTGCCAGCAAACTTCCAGCTGCCGGCTGATGATTGGCTCACAGCAGCCCCAGCAACATCTAGCTGATTGGCTCCTCGGCCCCAGCAACATCTAGCTGATTGGTTCCTCTGCGGTGATGCTCATTGGACTGTTTCCCTGCCCTTTCAGACCACGGAGCTGCTCATTGGGGGACTTTTTTGGCTCCGCCCACGTGACCCAGCCAATCGGCCTCAAGAGCAGGAGGATTGTGGGAGGTGGAGAGAAGCTTGTGTGGGAGAGAGAGGCTTGGGGAAAGCCGGTGGTGGCAGTTGAGGCTCTGAGGGTTTTTCCTGAGAGACTATTTTGTTTGTTGTGTGTGGTTCTAAAAATAAAGTTAGTTTCTTTTGACAAGTGGCTCCTGATTGTGCCCAGCCAGACTGCGGCAGATGGAGAAACTTGGGAGAAAGAAACTTGGAAGAACGAACACAAACAGATGATGAAATCGTGATAATCGGACCATGAGCTCAGTGTTTTGCCTGCCTCATCACATGGCTCCTTGTCAACCTCACTATACAAAGAAGAAAACAAGGTTCAGAGAGGTTAACTAATAACCCTCTGGCGGATCCAGGTCAAGTGACTCCAGAGTTCAAGTTCCTTATCTCTGTGTTTGCCACTCGGTCGCCTGGCATGAAGAATGGGGTAAGGAAAGAGGCATATTCTTAGACAATTGATTAGGATGCCTTGTTATCTATAATTTGTTTTAAAATTCTTCACTTTAAGCAGAGAAGTGTGTGTGTGTGTGTGTGTGTGTGTGTGTGTTTACATTAACTTTAAACCTTAGAAATAGTAATTATTTGAATATCATAACTAGTAATTCAGATCATCAGCATGGTAAATTAACACTACAAACTTCCAAACTTTGGGGCCACCCCATCAAGTGCCACTTTCTAAATCTGTGCCTGGAGAGTTCTCATTAGCACATGAGATAGAAATAATTATTCACTGTGAAGCCAGTTACATTCCAACTAAGTGGATTGCCAAACATACAGCATTAGGCAGCTCCAGCTCTGCCCTGAAGAAGAACGAGGGTGAGGAAGTCAACATCCCAGGGGGTCTTGGACCTAGAACACTGCTATGTGCTATGTCCACATGACTAACCCAAGAAGACTCTGCTTTCTGACCTAAGGTGAGTGAATTCTCCATGTAGGTCTCTGTCTTGGACTGAATCTTTTTGTGGAGTATATGTGGAAATACCTAAAATGATAGAGCTGAGACTTCACTGAGTTTGCAGAACAGATGGTACGATGTTTTCCATGCCTCCTTGGTAGTAATCATTTGTGGTAACAGATTTGACTTGAACGTTGTGTTTGTTGGACTGTTCCACCTGGCAGTGAGATTATGGGAAAAGAACCTGTAGTCTCCTCCATCTCTAATCCCTGAGACCGCTGTTTGTCAGCAAGCAAAAAGACCCTGGCAATAGGCCAGATGGACATGGATGAAAGGCCAGAGTGCATCAGTGAGGTGAAAGGGGTTTACTGTTATTGAATGAGTAGGACAAGTGAATTCTAAAGTCCTAAATTCAAGTTCTGGTTTCATTTGAAACTGGCTCCTCAAACTTTAGAAATTAGCTATTGACTCTGGACCTTTTCCCCCCTCATTGTTTAGAGTTGGACATTGTATAATAGGTGGCAAAACACATCAGTCCAGTTACTCCTATACCATTGATAGCAAAACACCATTCAAGGGAATGCCGAAGGCAATATGGTGTAATTCTTCTGTATAAAGAGTATGGGGGACTGAGATTGTGGCTCAGTGGTAAAGCACTTGCCTACCATGTGCAAGGCACTGGGTTTGATTCTTAGCACCACCCAGAAAGAAATAAAAAAATAAAGTTCCATCAACAACTAAAAAGAATTTTAAAAAAGAGTATGGGCATTATATATATTATATATCTGTGTGAATACACATAAAAACAATCTGGACACAAACAGAAAACTAGTGACTTTAAGAGGAGAAAGTTGGGGTGACAGAGAGTGGGAGGTCAGTGAGTGTGAAAGAAGCCTTTGCTTTTATTGTATGAACTTTTGTAATGTTTGAAAAATTTAAACCATTTATCTTGATCACAAAATGTAATAATTTTTTTCTTAAATATTGTTCATATTCGTGATTCTTGCCCAGAAAAAGAAGTAGTGAAGGAGGGAGAGAGCTGTAAATCACGAGAGAATGTGAGTATCTCTTCATAATGTTGTCCTTTAAAAAATGAATATAGATTTTAGACTATTAGGAAATGTCCAGAGGCCAGAGAGACAGATGTTTAAAAGCTGGGTATGGACAACTACATGCCTTGATAAGAGTCTTGTACTGCTTTGGGGAGAAAAAGCTGGAAGATTACAGATTTCTATTATTTCAGGAATATGATATGCTTGAATTTAAATAAAATCCTCATTTCCACTTTGAGGATGCATCTAATAGTGAAGCCAAGCCAGAACAACATCTGATACATTGTTCACTAAACTTCTTGCAACCCACCATGATCAGCCCCCACTTGGGACTTCAGATGCAGCCTAAAATCTGCTGGGAGTCACTGTGCTGAGTGTATTTAGCAGCAAGGGGCATCAGGGTCCAAGCAGTCTCATGTTTCACTGTCTAAGGGACAAATGAATTGGGGTCACACTTTGCCAGGAAGGACCTTTTTTTTTCTTTTTTTTGAATTTTATTTTATTTTTTTATTATTGGTTGTTCAAAGCATTACAAAGCTCTTGACATATCATATTTCATACATTTGATTCAAGTGGGTTATGAACTCCCATTTTTACCCCATATACAGATTGCAGAATCACATCGGTTACACATCCACGTTTTTACATATTGCCATACTAGTGACTGTTATATTCTGCTACCTTTCATATCCTCTACTATCCCCCCTCCCCTCCCCTCCCATCTACTCTCTCTACCTCATCTACTGTAATTCATTTCTCTCCCTTGTTTTTTTTTTCCCCTTTCCCCTCACATCCTCTTATATGTAATTTTGTATAACGATGAGGGTCTCCTTCCATTTCCATGCAATTTCCCTAAGAGAATATACAGTATACTACCACACCCTCCAAGAAAGTAAAAGCTTCACTCTTATTCACGCCTCCTGTGGGCCTCACCACATTTTCTTCTAACTAACCCTACTTAGAGTCATACAGTCAAATAAGTCCCTGTTAGATCAAATAGTGTAATATGTGGCTCTACCTAGAGGTGTGATCCAAACTATAGTCATAGAGGAGCTGTAGAACATTGGTGAAGGATCCTTTGAACAGTTAAAGTGGAGTTCACCCAAAAAGGTCCTTCCTGGAAGTCTGGCTGGGCACAATTCAGGAGCCACTTGTCAAAAGAAATGAGCTTTATTTTTAGAACACACACCACACCACACAGCTCCTCAGGAAAAACCCTCAGAGCCCAACTACCACCACTGGCTTCCCACAAGCCTCTCAACCTCCCCCACTCCTCCAGCTCTTGAAGCCGATTGGCTGGGTCTCATGGGCGGAGCCAAAAAAAGTCCCCCAATGAGCAGCTCCGTGGTCTGAAAGGGTGGGGAAACAGCCCAATGAGCATCACTGCAGAGGAACCAATCAGTTGGCAGCTAGAAGTTGCTGGGGCGGCTGTGAGCCAATCATCAGCTGGCAGCTGGAAGTTTGCTGGCAGCTGGAAGTTTGCTGGGGCCCCTTCGGCTGTGGCTCTCAACATCTCCCCCTCTCTGTTTAAACAACAAGCATGTGGCTTAGAGACCATGCCTGCCTTAGGTTGTCCAATAGTACATATGGTCCTTACCCATAATTGGATGAGCTGACCTCAAGGCGTCAGCCTCTTGTCTTAGGTTGGTACCATTGCAATTGGATCTTACCCGTCATTGACTACCGGTTCAGCATACAGCCACACCTGTGGATAGGTCTTTGTAACAGCTGGGGGGGGGGTGAGGTTCTTTGCCTCACCTCTGTTGGTTCCCAAATTTTATTTTATTTATTTTATTTTTTTTATATTTTATTTTTTTAATTTTTTATTGTTCGTTGTTCAAAACATTACATAGTTCTTGATATATCATATTTCACACTTTGATTCAAGTGGGTTATGAACTCCCATTATTACCCCATATACAGATTGCAGAATCACATCAGTTACACATCCATTGATTTACATATTGCCATACTAGTGTCTATTGTGTTCTGCTGCCTTTCCTATCCTCTACTATCCCCCCTCCCCTCCCCTCCCCTCTTCTCTCTCTACCCCCTCTACTGTCATTCATTTCTCCCCCTTGTATTATTTTCCCCTTTCCCCTCACTTCCTCTTGTATGTACTTTTGTATAACCCTGAGGGTCTCCTTCCATTTCCATGCAATTTCCCTTCTCTCTCCCTTTCCCTCCCACCTCTCATCCCTGTTTAATGTTAATCTTCTTCTCATGCTCTTCTTCCCTACTCTGTTCTTAGTTACTCTCCTTATATCAAAGAAGACATTTGGCATTTGTTTTTTAGGGATTGGCTAGCTTCACTTAGCATAATCTGCTCTAATGCCGTCCATTTCCCTGCAAATTCTATGATTTTGTCATTTTTTAATGCAGAGTAATACTCCATTGTGTATAAATGCCACATTTTTTTATCCATTCGTCTATTGAAGGGCATCTAGGTTGGTTCCACAGTCTTGCTATTGTGAATTGTGCTGCTATAAACATTGATGTAGCAGTGTCCCTGTAGCATGCTCTTTTTAGGTCTTTAGGGAATAGACCGAGAAGGGGAATAGCTGGGTCACATGGTGGCTCCATTCCCAGCTTTCCAAGAAATCTCCATACTGCTTTCCAAATTGGCTGCACCAATTTGCAGTCCCACCAGCAATGTACAAGTGTACCCTTTTCCCCACATCCTCACCAGCACTTGTTGTTGTTTGACTTCCTAATGGCTGCCAATCTTACTGGAGTGAGATGGTATCTTAGGGTGGTTTTGATTTGCATTTCTCTGACTGCTAGAGATGGTGAGCATTTTTTCATGTACTTGTTAATTGATTGTATGTCCTCCTCTGAGAAGTGTCTGTTCAGGTCCTTGGCCCATTTGTTGATTGGGTTGTTTGTTATCTTATTGTCTAATTTTTGGAGTTCTTTGTATACTCTGGATATTAGGGCTCTATCTGAAGTGTGAGGAGTAAAGATTTGTTCCCAGGATGTAGGCTCCCTATTTACCTCTCTTATTGTATCTTTTGCTGAGAAAAAACTTTTTAGTTTGAGTAAGTCCCATTTGTTGATTCTAGTTATTAACGTTTGTGCTATGGGTGTCCTATTGAGGAATTTGGAGCCCGACCCCACAGTATGTAGATCGTAGCCAACTTTTTCTTCTATCAGACAACATGTCTCTGACTTGATATCAAGCTCCTTGATCCATTTTGAATTAACTTTTGTGCATGGTGAGAGAAAGGAATTCAGTTTCATTTTGTTGCATATGGATTTCCAGTTTTCCCAGCACCATTTGTTGAAGATGCTATCCTTCCTTCATTGCATGCTTTTAGCCCCTTTATCAAATATAAGATAGTTGTAGTTTTGTGGATTGGTTTCTGTGTCCTCTATTCTGTACCATTGGTCCACCCGCCTGTTTTGGTACCAGTACCATGCTGTTTTTGTTACTATTGCTCTGTAGTATAGTTTGAAGTCTGGTATCGCTATACCGCCTGATTCACACTTCCTGCTTAGCATTGTTTGTGCTATTCTGGGTCTTTTATTTTTCCATATGAATTTCATGATTGCTTTCTCTATTTCTGCAAGAAATGCCGTTGGGATTTTGATTGGCATTGCATTAAACCTATAGAGAACTTTTGGTAATATCGCCATTTTGATGATGTTAGTTCTGCCTATCCATGAACAGGGTATATTTTTCCATCTTCTAAGATCTTCTTCTATTTCTCTCTTTAGGGTTCTGTAGTTTTCATTGTATAAGTCTTTCACCTCTTTTGTTAGGTTAATTCCCAAGTATTTTATTTTTTTTGAAGATATTGTGAATGGAGTGGTTGTCCTCATTTCCATTTCAGAGGATTTGTCGCTGATATACAGGAATGCCTTTGATTTATGCGTGTTGATTTTATATCCTGCCACTTTGCTGAATTCATTTATTAGCTCTAATAGTTTCTTTGTAGACCCTTTTGGGTCTGCTAGGTATAGAATCATGTCACCTGCAAATAGTGATAATTTAAGTTCTTCTTTTCCTATTTTGATGCCTTTAATTTCTTTCATCTGTCTAATTGCTCTGGCCAGCGTTTCAAGAACTATGTTGAACAGAAGTGGTGAAAGAGGGCATCCCTGTCTTGTTCCAGGTTTTAGAGGGAATGCCTTCAATTTTTCTCCATTCAGAATGATGCTAGCCTGAGGCTTAGCATAGATTGCTTTTACAATATTGAGGTATGTTCCTGTTATCGCTAGTTTTTCTAGAGTTTTGAACATAAAGGGATGCTGTACTTTGTCGAATGCTTTTTCCGCATCTATCGAGATGATCATATGGTTCTTATTTTTAAGTCTATTGATGTGGTGAATAACATTTATTAATTTCCATATATTGAACCAGCCTTGCATCCCAGGGATGAATCCTACTTGATCATGGTGCACATTTTTTTTTGATATGTTTTTGTATCCAATTCGCCAGAATTTTATTGAGGATTTTTGCATCTAGGTTCATTAGAGATATTGGTCTGTAGTTTTCTTTCTTTGAAGTGTCTTTGTCTGGTTTAGGTATCAGGGTGATGTTGGCCTCATAGAATGAATTTGAAAGTTCTCCCTCTTTTTCTATTTCCTGAAGTAGCTTGAAAAGTATTGGTATTAGTTCTTCTTTAAAGGTTTTGTAAAACTCTGCTGTATACTCATCCGGTCCTGGGCTTTTCTTAGTTGGTAGTCTTTTTATGGTTTCTTCTATTTCCTCAATTGATATTGGTCTGTTTAGGTTGTCTATATCCTCCTGACTCAATCTGGGCAGATCATATGACTTAAGAAATTTATCTATGCCTTCACTATCTTCTAATTTATTGGAGTATAAGGATTCAAAATAGTTTTTGATTATCTTCTGTATTTCTGAAGCGTCTGTTGTGATATTGCCTTTTTCATCCCGTATGCTAGTAATTTGAGTTCTCTCTCTTCTTCTCTTTGCTAGCATGGCTAAGGGTCTGTCAATTTTGTTTATTTTTTCCAAGAACCAACTTTTAGTTTTGTCAATT